GAAGGCTTTACTTTACTCTCCTCTTTCTTCTGTTGAGTTTTCTTTGCACCAAACAAATCATCATCAACTTCAGATGACACTTTTTTATTTTCAGGTTTCTTCACTGATGTTGCCAAAGATGAGGAAAAAATGTCATCATTGGCATCAAATATAGAGGTCTTTTTGCTGTCTTTATCTTGCTGAACATTTTCMTTTTCTGGGTTTGTTTCTTCTTTCTTAGTTTTTGTAGAAAACAAGTCCTCTTCAACATTTTTCTCTTTCTTCTTTTCCGTCGAGCTAAACAAATCTCTGTCTTCATCAAATATTCCTGATTTTCCCAGTTTGGGTTTTTCATTTGTAGATTTGTCTGTACTTTTTGTTTTTATGCTTTTTGGCCCGGTTGTGGTTTGTTTAGAATCATTCTCTCCAAATAAGTCAAAATCATTATTAGTTTTACTAATTGGCTTCGTACTTATATTGTCATTGGTCGGTTTACTGGGGGTTCCTCCTAGAGGTCCAAATAAATCATCAAAATTYTTGGACTCTTTCTCTGTAGTAAATAGTGGATCATGAACAGAAGACTTCGATGRYGGTTCTGATTTCGTAGATTTTGAGCTCGCAAATCCAAAGAACTCATCGCTCATATCTGAATCCTTAGTTCCTTTACGTTGGACTTCATCAATACCGGGAAGGTCTGGTAACGAGTCCACTTGAATTTTAGTGACATAACTATCATCCATTGAAGTAGGCTCTGGCCGAGGGAGAACTGGTTTTGATTCACCACCGAGCGCTGACCCGAATAGAGTTTCATCGCTGGCGCTTGCTGTTGCGGCRGCACGTCGGGCTTGTCTTGTTGGAGGTCGACGTTTTACTTGTACCTTGGCACGTTCCTATAGCAACGAAAAATGTAAGTAATATGTGACGTGATACTTAACTTGAAGCGTAAATATCAGATGTTAGCGGTGTATATAAGCCAAGCTACTGCAGAGGTSAAACAAAGATTACCTTGGAAACCGTCTCTAGTGTTTTAGCTACTGGTGGTTCATCAAATGATGCCTTTTCTGAAGTCTCCTTTCTTGGCGGTGGACCACCAGGCCTAAGCATGGCTGGATTAAAGGCCAATGACTTCTATACAAAATGAATACGAATTTAGAAGATGAAAATGTGATAGAAAAGAATGGAAAGAAGAAGAAATGAAAAGATAAAGSATAATGAAAAAATAGAAGTGATAAGGGAACAAAGTGAGAAAGTGCGAACAAAATGAGAAACGCAAAGAAAGAACTGAGAGGAATGTGAATAATGAGAAAGTAGGAATAGCCCTAAGTGCTGAAATACAAGTGAAATTAAAGCTTGACTCACCTGCAGTCTTGCAATACCTGAACCAGACTTTGCTGACGATACAGGGCTGGCAGTATCTTTGCTTGGTGMGGCTTTTGGTAAAGGAACAGGTGGAGTTACCTRAAAACCAATTGATTACAGATCAAAAACACTGACAAACGTCACTATCAAAACATTATCATCATCAGCTTTATCGTTGCTTTCTTTAATTGCTGTTTTTTGCTGTTATTGTTATAATCAAATCACCTTGTCTGGTTTACTTCCAAAYAGATCATCTTCTTCTGTGTCATCAAACATGCCAAGTGGATCTAAATYAATAAAAATCCCATTACTTTTTATATAAATATATAATATCAAAATGATATTACAGAATGGCTAACAATTTCAAGATACTACCATTCATTTAGATACCTTTCTTYGTAGGTGGTTCTTCAGTTTTCTTTTCAACAGATTTTGATAGAGCACCTCCTCCAAACAAATCCACTCCACCAAACATAGACACAGCACCAACAGGTTTCTTAGGTCGTTCATTGTYTGTTTTGTTGGTTTCCTCTTTCTTGCTGACTGGAGCCTTTGGAGCTACTGAGAATAAATCTTCATCATCATCACTAAATAGRCTTGGTGCAGCTTTGGATTTTGATGGAGGTGGACCAGATGACTCCCTTGGTTCATCATCTCCATCACTGAACAAACTTGGCCCAGTCTGTAGTTTCACGGGTTGTGAGGGTAATGCTGGGGACGCTGCTGGAGATGTTGATAATGGAGGGGGTTTTGGTTTACCAAAGAAATCATCATCATCGCTGTCATCTACACTCAGAGGAGCTGATGGTTTATCTACAAGAGTAAATCAAGAATTGAGAACTTGCAAATAATACTTAATTCTTTGTCTGATGTAATCATTATAGCTTTTCATCATCACTGCAATATGCAATAGCAAATAGAATTAACTTCACCAAAGTCTTGCAATCTAAAAGTACTTTCTTGTTACCTTCTTTCTTTTCTTGTTTTGTCTCAGTRTCTTTGACATCTGCTTCAGTAAATGAAGGTTTTTTGCCTGCAAAGAGATCAACACCACCAAACATAGATACACCACCAACAGGCTTTTTAAACTTCTTGTTATCCTCAACCACCTCCTTCTTGTCATCAGYCTTTGATGCAGGCTGACCACTAAAGAGATCTTCTTCTTCATCACTGAACAAGCTTGGTTTGGATGCTACAGTCTTTGTTTTGCTGACTGATTTTGGCTTTGCTTTGGGTTCTTCAGGTTTGGGTTTTTCTAAAGGTGAAGTTCCAAACAAATCATCTTCACCATCGCTAAACAAACTAGGTTTTTTGTTGGTCTGGG